CCACCACCCTACTATATCTGCATTGTACCATTGGTTTTTACAATCTTACAGCTTGAGGAGGCTCAGTGTTAACTTATTAATAATTACCTGTTTTCTGAAGCTGATCTTCTCTGCTTGTGATTTTTTTGGTTAAGTTGGACAGTGCAGACAGAGAGAAAACAGAATTAGCTCTTCCTAGCATCACAAGCCCGAGCAACATTGAACTAACACCTGCCGATGTTCCTGGGATGTGAATTCAGGGAAGGAAGAATGAGGTGAAGCAGCAAATAGCCTAACAACATTCCAGAAGAGAAAGGCATGACTAGTTGCAGCACGATGGGCTAACAATCACTCACTTCTCGATATTCCTGCTCATCATTTTCCAGTCGCGTTATGCTATTCAACAGAGGAAGACTGAGAATACTGCTCATTTAAACAGCTATGCAATGGAACATTCTGGGCAAAGATAAGTCCCCAAGGTTTACCATAGCAGTAGCAGAGATAATGATTGGAGGGAAAAAACTCACCTATGCAATCAAAAATCATCAAAAGAGCCACTTCACAGTGTGTAGAGAGTGCCCGAGAAAGGATATCTCTATTAGTATTACAGGTTTGAAAGAAAAGGCCAAATGATGATTTTATTGCCGTTGTTAACTTATGGTGTGTAGGCATAGTTAGGATCGAGACCCATTTAATGACTTCAATTCGGCCCAAAATATCGGCGGTAAAAAGGATTCTTACGGCCCAATAAATTTTTTCATTGACGTTTCTTTTAAAAAAAAAATGTTTACGTCTTTGGATTTGACCAAATCAATAGTAGTCCAAATTATTATTTTTATTTATCCAAAGATGGAAGATTTCATCCATCTTAATTATAAAGAAAAAGAAAGTCTCAAAGTAAAACGTTAAAACACCTTTTGGACCTTCAAAGCGGCGAAAGTGCGGTGATCACGGCAACAAAAAGCCTACTGGTTAATTTGTTTTGTCAAATACAATTTGCGTAAAAAGAGGAAAAACGGAAAGAAAGTTTCCATTAAACCAAAGGCTTCTTATCTTCAAATGTCTTTTCCATTGAACAAGATACCATATTTATTACGGTGAAGTTCCAACATTTCCAGATAACAACGAGAAAGAGAAATGTCATCACTTTTTGTTCTTTATTTCCGTTAATCAGTTTCAATTGATATATAAATAAATAAAATGTATTAATTTGGTAGTGTTAAAAATTAAAAAAAAAAACGATGACTGACTGACAACAATAAAAAAAATGAGAGAGGGAAGGAAGCGATTGGATAACACAGAGACACACATACATACATACACATTCATTGTACACACTCCCCCCCGTCAAAATGCCCAAACCCTAAATCTATATTCCTCTGACCGCTTCTTCTTCTTCTTCTTCTGTTGTCTTTCGAGTGTTGGTTGTCGATTTCGATGCCCCAATCTGGGACCTGGGTACTGTTCCCAAGCTCCACCCGGATTCTTTTCCGTCGCGGAAGCCATTGATGTGAAAGCTCCGATAACTTGTGGTTTTTAGCTTCTTCCTAACGTAGCCGCTAATCGGATTTTTAGGTATTTATTCTTTATTTCCGGATCTCCATCTAATCGGATCTTGTGTGTGCTTCTTACTCTCGATCTGAATGTGATAAGGAGGACCCTGTGTTTTAATTGGTATAGATTGGGTGGGGAACAGATCTTGTTCATTCAGTCAGAATGTGGGTTTATTAGGGTTCTTTACAAAGTCTGCAACTTTGAATTAGATGCGTTTCCAAGATATAGAGTCTGCTTAAAGCTTGCTATTAGTTAGAATCCAGAGCCATGTCCTTCAAGAGTCTCATTCAGGACATGAGAGGAGAGCTTGGGAGTATTTCTAGAAAGGGATTCGATGTCAGATTCGGCTATGGTAGATCCAGGTCTCAACGTGTTGTTCAGGATACTTCTGTTCCTGTTGATGCTTTCAAGCAGAGCTGCTGGGCTAACATGCCTCCGGAGCTCCTCAGGGATGTTCTCATGAGGATTGAGCTATCCGAAGACACTTGGCCCTCTAGAAAGAATGTTGTTTCTTGCGCTGGTGTCTGCAGGAACTGGCGTGAGATCGTCAAGGAGATTGTCAAAGTTCCTGAGGTTTCTAGCAAATTGACTTTTCCTATCTCCCTCAAACAGGTTCACTTTCTCTTTTTTTACTTTATATCTCACTTGTGTGCTTATCCAGGCTCATCTTTTTCCTGACTTTCTTTTAGCCCGGTCCAAGGGGATCACTTGTTCAGTGCTATATTATGAGAAACCGCAGCAATCAAACCTACTACCTGTACCTCGGGTTAAACCAAGGTGAACACTCACAGATGCTACTTCTTTTCTCTTTGCATACCTTATGTGTTTGTGAATAACAGTGAAAAGTTTACTTTTTCTGTTTCAGCAGCAGCTTCAAATGATGATGGAAAGTTCCTTCTTGCTGCCAAGAGGTTTCGGAGGCCAACTTGCACTGACTACATCATCTCCTTAAACTGCGATGATGTCTCCAGAGGAAGCAATACCTACATCGGAAAGCTAAGGTACTTAGCTACCGATTGACCCCATGGTTTTAAATACCTGCTTTTTCATATATTTGACATAACCCTTCTCTTTTATCTTAACTTTCTTTCAGATCTAACTTTCTGGGGACCAAGTTCACTTGTATTTGACGC